ACTTGATATAGGCGCTGTTGCCAATATGTGAATTAGAAACAAATCCCTTTTAAAATTAAAACCCAACATTTGAAACATCAATTTCAATACTTTTCGAAGTGAATTTCAAAACCTCATGATTTAAACTCAACTTTATTTTGTTCAAACTTGCATTTGCTGTAATAACCCAAATTGAGGAATATTCCCCATTGCATTCTCTTCGACAGAAATTTGTTGAATTTTCCATACAGAGGAACTTGTTGTGGATAGTTTCGGCCAGGCCAAACCAGAGCAGTTTCGAGGCATTACCCCCCGTCCATGTAGAAAAGATCAGATCAAAACAGCAGTATTCCTCCAACTAGACTGATTCCAAACGTGGCCCGACTAAATGTACAGAATATTCATCTGGAAGAAATACTTGTTAACTAGCAACAGCTTCATCACTGGACCGTGCTAAAATCAATCTAGTGATCGGAATATAACTTCTGATCAGTTCAGGACAGATTCAATCGAAACAGTACTTCGTGGAATCGGGTGATTTCATCGTAGCTCCTGTTTCAAACGACGATCTGAGGCAGGATTTGTTTCAGCAAAGACTACAAAGCCCATAGAAGCTCAGAAGTGGCATTTTCATGTCACCTAAAATGTTTAATACTCACCCTGACCACCAGAGGGCAATGGCATTACGATGTCAGTATTAAATGTAAGTATCAACAGAATTGAGTAGCTAGCAGTCGCTGATAACCAGTCGGCCGATAATGTGTAGGTTTGTTCTGGTTCTAACATCAGAAACTGTTTGGAAACTGCGCAAGACATGATGCGTACGAACAAAAAATCTCAAACAGTCCGAAATAGTCTCGGAAACTTGGTTGAACCAGAACGCATTTTGAGGAAACCACTGAGCCACCTATCATATATATGAAGAGATAAAGACGAGAAAATACTGTTGATCATGTCCATTTTGTTAGGTAGTTTATCCTTGTAGTCAGTTCAAATGTTATCTAACCTCAATTATCAATTATTCAAATCAAGTAAATAAAAAAACATCCTAGAAAATAGCCCAAACATATATCCACATGAATGCGCATGAGCAACGGGAACAGTCCTCAACAGTTCAGCTTCGAGAGCAATAACGATTCGAGACGGTTCAAGACAGTTTAGGATCATTTCGCAGTCGAAACCAGAACAGAGGATTCATCAATCTGAACCAGAACGCTCTATATCAACTACGCATGATCCTGTGCAGTTGATATAGTATTAAATATAATATAATATAAAATGATATGATATGATATGATATGATATGATATGATATGATATGATATGATATGATATGATAGTTTCATCCTTCCACCTAAGGGGGCATGGGCGGGTAATCACATTAAATACTGACATCGTACTGCCATCGCCCTCTGGTGGTCAGGGAAAGTACAAAAAATTTTAGGTGACGCGAAAATGCCACTTCTGAGCTTCTATGGGCTTTGTATTCTTTGGTTTCATCCTGACTTATTCTACTATGTAGAATCTTAATAGAAGACAAATTGTGAAAAAGTACATGTTCACAAATTGAACAAATGAGTGCAAAAATATATTGAACGTACCTGTACACGTATGGTCCCACTTCCTGAACTCTCAACTTATCATGTTCCCCACTCATATATTCTTCTTTATTTGTGACGTTCCATAAGTAAACTTTCAGATACAGTTCGACAGGTGGCTTCCTCCATAATTCAAAAATTTCTCCTCCTTCCTCAAATATCAGTTTCTGAAAAAATGTCATTTACATTTGCCGGATATTTGAAGTGCTAAAAACTTGAAGTAAACTCTTTTCGAAGAATTTTATATTGAATAAAATGTTCGTGATATCTAGTTTAATAGGTACTTTTTCATCACATTTGTTTGAAGGTGGTTGACAGTTTCATGTTGAATTTCATTAAATCGGACTTCCATTGTCTAATATGATACAAAATCATTTGAAATCCCTGAAAGAACCAATATAATTGAAAATTAAAATGAATAGTTGAAAATATTAAGCGAAAAAATCCTGAAATGAAATAACAATAAAATAAAATACAAGCAGAAGATTGAAAATTGCACATTTGGAAAATAAATATCAAAATATTCCACATTCGTCTTCACTTGAAGACGAATGTGGATAATATCAATCGAAACAGTATTGCCACTCCAGATTTTTTTTTCAGGGTAAGACAACAATGTTAAAGCGGGTTAAATTCGACAAAAACGGGCCAGTACTAGCTGGCGAATCCAAAAAATAATATTAATTGAAGCTTTTTGTTTGTATACAGTTCCTGTTAACTCAACGACGTTGATCGACAATAAAAAATTGAAGGAAATCAGGAAATCGCACCTCAATTAATTTGTTCAACACTCCATAAATTTGTTAATTGTCAAAAAAATTCAAATTATGACAACTTGACAACTGACATTCCCAACTACCAAAGGACATCATTTAAACACAGGTGTTTTCGATAACAATAAATTTGACATTTTTAATCTATGGGTGCATTCCCATATTCCCAATCTCACCAAAATAATTTTTTTTCCAAATTTGAAAAATCGAATTAGTTTTATTAATGGGGGCTAGAGGGCTGGATTTACCAGAAAAGGGCGAAATCTAGCCCAAACGAGCTAGAAGTGGTAACACTGAATCGAAACGTCGTGAAGTAACTTGGCTTGAAATCTTTCAATTTTTATTTTTTTAATTGTTCAATTTTCAGTTATTTGCTTTTATTTGATTTCATTTTATTTTCATTTAAGGGTTTTTTGCTCAATATAATTGTTATTTCCAGCTATTCATTTTGATTCTCAATTTTATTGGTTCTTTCAGCGATTTCAAATCATTATATATCATAGTAGACATGGAAGTCCGAACTAATGAAACTTTTTTGTCAGGTTTTATTGGCAACGGCTTCATTTTCAAAGATAATTGAGTCGAATGAAAATATTGGCTAATATGCATTTGATGTTCGCAATTTCTGTTTTTTAAATAATCATAACCACACGAGAACAAAAACAGTGTCACTCGATGCGCGTTTCGTTAACCAAGCTAACATCATAGGCGATGATTTTTTTAAGGACAAAACACAAGCACTACAGAAACATCCTTAAGTCGTTCTAAGAGCGGTGCCTGTGCGAAAGTCATGATTCACATTGGATTTGAATCGCTGGAGATTGAATCAATTTGGAAAAACGTTCCACATAAACGCAATTCTCCAAATGAGAGAGTTCTTAAACAGTAAAGTTCGAGGTATACTGAACTGAACCTCAAAATGATGAGCTGCCACTGTTCGACGCGTATTTTTTATATTGTAACAAATTAAAGAATTAACTGTCTTAAACAGTTTTATTTCCAACACTATTTCACTAATCACAAACTAATTTATTTACAACTCTTAGCAACTAACTCTTAATTCATCTCTACTATTTGAATTCCTTGTTTAACCGCTCGATTCACTTTCTCAACTGAACTGTCCTCTTGGGTCGAGAAGCCGGGCTTAAATAGTGTAACGGTTCTTTCTCGAAATCTGTAGTGGGTTCGATACTCGACTAGAGTTTTACCGGCGGTTGCCGACTGCATTCATTTTGCGGTGATGTCATGTGTTTGTCCGCTGGCTGGCATATTGGTCAGGGACGACTTCAGATTCGTTACATTATCTACCGCTCTTGGTGGAATCAAGAGTGCCAAGTCACTTGAAAACTTTCCGTGAAAGTATATATAGAAGGGAGACGAAATCTCCAATCTTTCTTCAATGTTCCAGACTATCAAGGTTGCGAGCGATGTTCGCGTCTCCAATCAGGCGAATAGCTCTTTTCTAGATGGAATCCAGCAGCTTCAATGTATGCTTAAAGGTGGAACTCCATACATGAGAACATCACTTCAAAGAATATCTGATCTGAGCTTTATAAAGCATCGAAAGTTGCTGTGGTATGATCAGTTTTCTGGTTTGGAACAGTGTTTCAAACCTTTGAGAAGCAGCCTTTGCAATTTCAGCGACATGATTGTGCCAAGACATATTGGTGTCCATTTTCACCCCCAACAAAATTATCGAGGCAGAAAGAGGAGTTGTCTGTCCTGACATTATTATATCCGGTTCGGAGATATTTATCTTTCCGAAGAAAAACGATGTCTGGGTTTTTGTGGATTTGAACTGAACCTGGTTACTTCCACCCCAACTCAAAATCACTTCATTCATTAAGATATGCAACCTCCTGCTGCCGATGGAGAAGTGTATCTGCAACCGATGACCTGGAATCCGAACGGAATGACGAGTTTGAGACTGTCTGATGGATAAATACTGAGTTTCTACATCTATACATAAGTCTATCTATAAAAACTTGATCATCTCGACAGAAGAACATTAAAAAAAATCACTAGCCAGGCAAGTCGGAATGAACAATTGTCACAGTCAATTTCCTATACCAGGTGTCCCACATTTTATGTGACAGGCAATATCTGGTTTGTTGAAGGAGATACACAAAAATGTTTCATACAAAAGTTTTAGGAGTTCATGAGAGCTATATTTTGATATAATTTTTAAATATACAGGGTGTTTGGTGTAGGTGCTACAGACCAAAATTCCATTTTTT